TTGTGCAGGGTGATAGATGGTGCCCCACTCGTGCGAGAGCATCAGCAGGGTGAGGCAGAAGTGAGTCGAGCACATTCTTCGGTAGTCCTCGGGGCTTGATGGCAGCATCGGAGAGTACAGGTATGCGTTCAAGAGCTCCTCCATGTCGTCATGCTGCAGTATCCGTAGGTAGTCCATTGTCAACTCATCGACGGGTGGACAAACTGCAGTGAAATGTTCGGGGAAGCATTGGCAGGTGCCAGCTGTTACCGAAGCCTCCATCTGACGCACCCGCCTCGCAACCCGTGGATCGCCCATCGGTGCACCGCCCGCCTTGCAACCCGTGGATTGCCCGTCGGTGCACCGCCCGCCTCTTGCGGGCCACCTGCCGCTGACATCGCACGTGACAGAGATCTTTGTCCCGTTGTTCCTCGTGCACGGCGGCGCGGTTGTCGTGCAGGGCCTCGCGGCGGGCAGAAGTCACGAGTACGACGAGGCGCGCCAGACGCTGTACGTCCGCGCGCCGGCCGACCCTGCACCTGGCACCGTGCGCCGCATCTGTGTCGCGCTCGCGCCACACCTCAAGGTGGTATTCCTCATCAACGACTTCTGGAGTGACTGAGGGAGCACGGTCGCCGTCGCTGCTCTCTGGTAGTGCTGTTGACGGACAGCGTTCTGGAACATGCCGCCAGTCGGGGTTCGGCGATGATGATCACTGCGGCAGGTGTGGCGCCAACGACACCAGGGAATACGAGTCGGTGCTGTATGAGCTGTAAGTTGTGATGGACAGCGGCGGCTCAGAATCGCTGCTCATCTGGCAAAGCTTCATGGACCGTATTTGCTCAGTGATGTTGTAATCAGAGGCATCAGGGTACTGGAACTCGACCGACGTGCTCTACATCTGCGCCAGTTGGTCAGGGTGATAAGAACCAGGATAAGACAGCGAAAAAAACTGGTATTTGCAGGCAGCCGTTGCTGCCGTGGTCGCCGCTGTTTGTGCCGCTACCGTTGACTTCTCTTGAAGACGCCTCGCCCAAACGGGTACTCGGCAGAAGCGTGCGCATAGAAGGGTACGAGCGCGAGCAGCGCGGTGGGCAGAAGGTGCGGCGCAGCGTGCTCGGCGGCGTTCGCGAGGTGGATGATGGCGCTCTTCTTACTGAAGGGATTCCGCGCACCGATCACTCGCCGCCTGCGTTGCCAGCCGAGGAGCGTGGCCCGAAAGTACAGCTCAAGCGCAGCCAGGAGCGCGGCGCGTAGCTTGTGTGCGTGATACTTGTGGCTCATGCGCAGGAGCGTCGCTGCGAGTCTTTCGTTGTCGAGGAGCGAGCGCGGGAATCTGCGAAGCAGGCAAGCGTCGTTCGCGGGAATTACATTAGCATGTATATACATAGACAACAAAGACTGTACTTACCAGAGACTGGTGCTCTGCCGCCCTTGCGCCAGAGTGAGCGTCGCAATGGTGTGGCAGTTGTAGCACCGCGTGGCAACCTCCTGCGACTCCTGACAAGGAGCAGTCTGCGAGCGGCCCTCGCCACGGTTATTGCGCGTTGAGGCGCTGGCGCATGCCCGAACCCTGGAAGGACTACCTAAAAAACCAGCCCTCGCACAAGAGGAGAGCGCGTGGTGAGTAGGAGTAAGTAGAACGAAGAGAACAGTGGAAAGCCTAAAGGTGTGTGAGCTCCCGGATAAAAGGAGCGAGGCGACTGGGGTACCAGGGACGGGCCGCACAAAGGTCCAAACGCAGATGACGCGAGCGCGAGCGATAATGGCACTCGCACGTATAGCGCGAGCGCAATGTCTCTGGAAAAAAATAAAGCTTTTTAGTAGCCTGAGCCGCAGTCAGCGGGCAAGTAGGGGGTAGAAATAGAGCTTTGAGGGGATGACGCAAAGACGCAAAGACGCAGAGAGCCAAGGACGCAGGGACGCAGCAATGCAGCAATGCAGCAACGCAGACGCAGAGATTTGAACGCAAAATTTCAAGTGTGCGAGAGGGGGGAGTCGTGTTCTGGCCTCAGGCTACGAGTACACGGGACTTACATACTACTGGTCCGAAAATCTACAGAAAACATGAGAAAATTCAGTAAAAATTTGCGGCGCGCCACGTCAGTTTTAAGGTATACTTTGAAGAGGCCGACCTTCAAGTCCAACGCAGGCGAAGCTGCGTCCTTGCTAGCGGACACATTGTGCAACACATACATCTTAGGCGGCGGCTCGCACTGGCATGTACTACGCCTGTCTTTCTCGGTAGATGTGTTTGTCGGTGAATTTCTGGTCGTCGTAGCGTGCATGCGGGTAGCTGTCTGCAATCGCGCTTGCGCGGGCCAATTTGGATTGCAGCAGGAACGTGCTCCGGGTGCGGGCTTAGGTTGTCGTGCGGAACGGCGCTACGCGAGAGTAC